CCCTCTCTGGTTGGTAAGTAAAGAAAACTTGCCCACCGATGCTCTCAGCAGGCAAATCTCTTCCCTCTCTCAGCAACTCCCCCAGGGCAATGACCCGGTGCCTCCCCACACAATACAGACAGCCCATCTAATGGCAGCCCAGGGGGCTGCATGGCATATGCTGGGATCTCACCTGGGCCCTGGCAACCTACCCACAGTGCACCACTCACCTCACATGACCACCCCCAGCAAGGTCAGCACCGGTTTTCTCCGTTTGTCAATCACAGCAGAGAGCGCAGCAGGGGCTCTGCAGTGCATGGAGACCAAGCTCCTGTCTGCAGATGAGGGCTGGGCCCAGTGGCTGAGGGCAGCAGTGGGGAGGGGAGTTTGCACTAGGGGATGCAAGTACCCAGGGGCGGATGAGAGTTTTGCAGGGCCCAGGGCAGCACAATTTCGTGGGACCCCCCTTTGGAGAGAAAATAGAAAAAAGGCGTCAAATGTGCAAATTGAAGGCTATTTTTCATATTAAATGTGAATTGGGTAAATTTAATAGAAACTTAATTTAGTTGGATAATTTTTATTTTAATTATATTGTAAGTCATTCTTAAACACAATTCTGCTCTAATAATTAAACATTTTAATTTGTATTTAAGTCTACTATAGCTGTCTAGCTCTTTTGGCAGCACATTCTTCAATTATGTCAGTAAAGTCCATTTCTTTACACAGGTCGTTTTCAATTGATATAATTGAAAGACCTACAAAACGCTCCTGGCTCACAGTAGATTCTCTTTGGCTGCCCATGGCTGGTATTTGCCAGGCAGCGTTGGGTGTTTGGCAGCCAGGCAGCATTGGGACTTGTGGGGGCCAGGTGGAATGTGGGTGTTGAGACTTGGGAGGGGCAGGGGGCGTGTGGGTGTCCAGGCCACAGTTGTGAGTCTGTATCGCAACCCCACAGCAGCACTGAGCTCACGTTTGTAAGCACAGGCCTTAGGTCTGTTCTTTCCTAACACTTGCAGGCCTGGGCTACACCCAGTTGTGTCCCCGCCTCCCACCAGTACTTCTGCCTGCTTCCTTGTCTGGCCTCTCTGCCTGTGCTAGTCAGCTACAGGGCCACCTTGCTGAGACTGTTCCATGGCCAGCGTGACTCACACGAGCTGAGCTAGCTGGCCGGCAGTGAGACAGCTGCACCACTCCTGCCACTACCAGGCACAGGACGGCCAGGGTCCAGCAGCTTTGTGCCCTGACAGATCCTTTTTGAGCAAGCAAGTAGGAAGAGGGAGGGGGCCCTGGCTGGCTCTGCCTGTGAAAAGAAGGAATAAGGACTCCCTGCCACTGGAGAACATGGGCTTCAATCCCACTGCCTCTGAAAGGCTAAGGGAAGTGCTCAGCCACCTGAGCCAATCCCCCTGCCTAACTGCAGCAGTCTTGCCCCATCCATCTCATTTCAGAGCCCACAATGTCCCTGCAACTGCCTATAGCACCTTTCCCAAAATTGTGAGCCAGTTTGCTGTGGGCCAGCTCGCCCCGCTGGTCAGCATGTGATGTTAATAACGCAAAGGAGGTGGGGTCAAGTTCCAGGCTGGTCAATAGACATTCTTGGCAAAACGGCCAGTCATCCTTTAGGCTGACTACAGGAAGGCCAGAAAAAGGAGCAACTTGCAAAGAGCAAGTCAGAGCACTGGTTAGAGGAGAGAGGCTCAGGCTCTGTGCAGGGCCAGCCTGCTGGGAGGGGGTTCTGGCCACCTCTCTTCCTTCCCTCCCTCATTCAGCTTCATTGTTCACATGAGGGCGGAAAGGCACACGGTTTTTTCGAAAACCTCTTGTGGAAAAACGGCTCCTAATTAATTATGCAAATGATGCGCATGCTAATCTGCATTTCATTTGCATCGGCTTTTGCAGAAGAAGGAAGCTTTGCAGATGTAGCCATAGTGTTGACATCGTCAAACATCTTTTCTTCCTCTCCAGCCTCTGCCAGTTCCTACTCCCTCTCTGGTTGGTAAGTAAAGAAAACTTGCCCACCGATGCTCTCAGCAGGCAAATCTCTTCCCTCTCTCAGCAACTCCCCCAGGGCAATGACCCGGTGCCTCCCCACACAATACAGACAGCCCATCTAATGGCAGCCCAGGGGGCTGCATGGCATATGCTGGGATCTCACCTGGGCCCTGGCAACCTACCCACAGTGCACCACTCACCTCACATGACCACCCCCAGCAAGGTCAGCACCGGTTTTCTCCGTTTGTCAATCACAGCAGAGAGCGCAGCAGGGGCTCTGCAGTGCATGGAGACCAAGCTCCTGTCTGCAGATGAGGGCTGGGCCCAGTGGCTGAGGGCAGCAGTGGGGAGGGGAGTTTGCACTAGGGGATGCAAGTACCCAGGGGCGGATGAGAGTTTTGCAGGGCCCAGGGCAGCACAATTTCGTGGGACCCCCCTTTGGAGAGAAAATAGAAAAAAGGCGTCAAATGTGCAAATTGAAGGCTATTTTTCATATTAAATGTGAATTGGGTAAATTTAATAGAAACTTAATTTAGTTGGATAATTTTTATTTTAATTATATTGTAAGTCATTCTTAAACACAATTCTGCTCTAATAATTAAACATTTTAATTTGTATTTAAGTCTACTATAGCTGTCTAGCTCTTTTGGCAGCACATTCTTCAATTATGTCAGTAAAGTCCATTTCTTTACACAGGTCGTTTTCAATTGATATAATTGAAAGACCTACAAAACGCTCCTGGCTCACAGTAGATTCTCTTTGGCTGCCCATGGCTGGTATTTGCCAGGCAGCGTTGGGTGTTTGGCAGCCAGGCAGCATTGGGACTTGTGGGGGCCAGGTGGAATGTGGGTGTTGAGACTTGGGAGGGGCAGGGGGCGTGTGGGTGT